TTTGTCTAGCCAGAAAGCGGGTCCGGCGTCCCTCACATAAACACTGTGGCCGTTTAGGCTGGGAAAGGCACTTCTGGCCAATCCCATCCCCACCACAGTCAGGACTCAGTCCAAAAGATCAATGTATCTAGTCCAATCTTCCAAGCACCAAGATTAACTAGAACATGCCTATTCTAACTGTAACACAACAGAAAAGTCAGCTATCGAATTCAACAGTCCAACATTGTCCTAAAAGAAACTCAAAATTAAGGAAAAAAGGAAACAAAAGCCTTAAAAGCACTCTTATTGTACAAAAAAAGTAGAAAATCGGAGCATCGGCTGGCTGTCCTGTTGGGCATCCACTCTAACCAACCCCGAGAAATCACCCCATCTATTACAAAACCACTTGATGGCCTTTGCTGAAAAGGCCTTTCTTTGTACCCGATACTCCCAGTCTGCTGATATTGCCTGTTTGATAGCATACTTGACTTCAGCCCTTATCATCGGCGGTGTAAGGTGTTCCCCTTTCCGTATTCTAGCGTTTCTGAGATTCCAAAGGGTCCACAAGATAGCACCTCGAATTGTCTCTTCTGCATGAGCCGATCGCACTTGTGTAGCTGTTCGCCTGGCCGCGATCCCAAGGAGGACAAAATTATCCCCCCAGCGGGAAGCCGCTCCTGGGATCRGGRCATSSGAYTGTCTCCACCAATCCCAAAAAGGTCTGGAAAGTTCACATTGCAACAAAAAATGTTGTATGTCCTCCATTCGGGTCCCTGARCATATTTGGCACTYCGGCACAGCCTTCGTAGTTCTTTGAGCACACCAGGTGTTAACCRGGAGCGCCAAGTGCATCAAAAGCCAGAGCAAGCTCGCATGCTTACTCACCACCATGTCCATCAAAATTCTCCAAAAAGACGGAAGAGCTGTAGCCAATCTTGTTAGAGAATCGTCTATCCATCCTGTGGCCATCCATCTCCTGGCCCCAGTCCAGTTGATGTCAAGTCGCGGCGTCATTAGCTGGTATCCCATTTTTGTGGAATATTCTGAAAGGCCTACCAGTTCGTCTCGTAATGGATGTTTCCATCCCCAATCTCTGGGATCGACCGGCAAATTAAACGCAGGGAGCTGTGTATAGAATGGTCTGTAACTTTGTTTATGCTCCAGTACACAAACCGGTACCAACTGGCCAGCAGGCGGAAGGGAAAGCTGTTCTTCACAGAATTGCAGAGGCTCTCCCAAGGACTGAGACCCACCTTGAATGCTCCAGCAGGTAGTGGTGATCTCCACATGTTCAGAATAGTCTTCTATMCTCCAAAMGCRRTTTGCGTCTTCTTGCTGTGCTTRCYTGTACCACATCCCTTTMACTGGCACYAGTCCCACCCTCAGWATCTCRATCCATTGGTGAGGGACTGYGTCCCTCAACTGCTGCAAGTGAYCCACCTGATGCCAMAGCCCTTGTAGTCTCGGAGCAAGACKCTCTGCTRTTTTCCAGTCGGCAGYGGTACAGTCCCAAATATCTGCCAGAGTTCCAATCCCMCGAGACAACCAGGCATTTCCAAATTGTCCGGGTCCAAAACAGCSGAAAGGATATCCTTCCGAATTGAGTAAAAGCGGGTTGTCAAAAAGCGGTTGGGTGAGCAATCTTTCATACACCAGCGGAGGAGGTTGCAGTTGGGGACAAGCTTTCCTCCATGCCTTCAAGATGCCAGCCCACACGCCTGCAGGCAATCTTTTGTGTTGATAGTCCGTGAGAAGCACTGTTAGCCATATGCAACGGAGGTCAGTCCATTCCCAGAGAGAAAATAACGTGAATTCAGCTAGTTGCCGCCATGCTGTGTTCGGACATTCAAGGATGGCCCACGGCACCCATCTCGCGAGTAAAGCGTCGATTTGTCGCTCGGGGTCCAAAATGGCCAACCCGCCGTTGCGTTTTGGTTGAGTTATTGTTTGCCATGCCACCTTTGGCAAGAAGTGATCTTCATTGATTTCTTCTTTCCACAGATAGTGAGTCAGCATTTGTCGCACCGTCTGCAAGGTCGGCCGATCAAGCTGATGTATGGACCTTCGGTACCACAAGGTTGAGAGCACAGCATTGTTGATCACAATTGCTCTACCAAAAAGACTTGCTCCTTTATATTTGACCCAGGGTTGCAGTGCTGAGCGCAAAGCAGCCAATGAAGTGGCCGGAGCTTGAGTTATTTGCGAGTCAAATGACAACTGATGGCCCAGCAATCTTTCTTGTTGAGCCGGGGTGACTATTCTAACTCCCCAATTAATTGGGGGTTCTTCTCCCGGAGGTATCAACACAGACGATTTAGACCAGTTGACTTGGGCCTGCGACAACTGACAAAACAGGTCTATAATCTCCCTTAAGGCAAAAAAAGCATGGTCTGCCAATGGAATGCGATGGAGTCATCAGCAAAAGATTCTGTTTTTAGCCTTTCCCCGGAGGGCAGGACAAATCCAGGAATCTCCGGATTAGATCTGATTAAAATATGCATGACTTCAACATAAAGCAAATACAGGTAAGGTGCCACTGGACACCCCTGCCGGACTGATCGGCTTAACCGAATCGGAGCAGACAGGACCCCATTCACACAGATTCGCGACGTAGCATTTTGCAAGAGGCTATACACTGCATGTTTGAACTTAGGTCCAAACCCAAAGGTAGCCAATGCGGCCTGCAAAAATTCCCAGCCAACTCGGTCATAGGCTTTTGCCAAATCTAATAGTACAATCGCAAGACTGTCCTCACCTGCTACCACCAGTTTTACCAATTGCTCCGCAATCATAACATTATGCAAGATCTGTCTACCTTGCAAAAAAACTGTCTGAGTGGAATGAATGAGAGAAGAGAGAACTTTCTGCAGTCTAGCTGCCAAAATTTTCGAAAAAAAATTGTACAGCGCCGGCATCAACATTATAGGCCTGTAATTTGCGATGTCAGTACGGTCTCCTTTTTTGAAAACAAATGTGACCACTCCTTGCAGCACGGCATCAGGCAGCGGCGCTCCATTCCAAACTGCTTGGAATATGAGTAGTAGCTCCGGTAACAGTTGTAATGAAAAATTTCGGAAAAACTGCGCTGGGAGACCGTCCAATCCCAGGGCTTTGTGACTTGCTAACGAAGACAATGTGTGTGTCAGTTCCAGCATAGTAATGTCACTTTCCAGCATTTGTTGTTGACTTTCAGACAGTGTTTTGTCCACTTTCGACCAAACTTCTTCGTGGAACAATTGGAGAAGCT